ACAAACTACCTGACAGTACATGCTGCGGTTCACATGCTGCGGAGGTAGCACTCTCCGTGAGTGCCCCTCTGTCTAGTATATGTTGTGCTGTGTGCTGTGTGTGTGTGTGTGTGTGTGTGCTGTGTTTTGTTGTGTGTGTTTTGTGTGTGTGGTGTGTGTGTGTGTGTGTGTGGTGTGTCTCGTGCGTGAGGTGTGGTTGTGAGTCTGTGTGTGTGCTGTGCGTTGTTATGGTGTGTGCGGATTGTGCGTTGGCGGCGCAATTTCTCATGTGTTACGAGCTGGCTCGCCGCTCGCTGCTGGCTGCTGCTGACTCGCTGCTCGCTGGTGGTTGCTGCTGACTCACTCGCCTGCTGCTGACTCGCCGCTCGCTAACCCGACGCGCTATCGATCGCGCCGCCCGCTCGCTGACTCGACGCGCTATCGATCGCGCCGCGCGGACTGGACACACACACACACACACACACACACACACACACACACACACACACACACACACACGAGACCGATTACATTACCTCCGCTCCATTCCGTGGCGGAGGTAATAATGGCGACGTCAACCCGTGTGTAGGCACGTGATCGTACAGGGTTAGTACAGGTTCGTTTGTACAACAGATAGACGTGCAATTGCACTTACGCCCAACACAGTAGATCGTACAATAACCAAATGATTACTACAAAAAATTCATTCTTTAATTTCCACAAAGCATTGTGACAAGGCATACAATACTTAACTAAAATACCGGCCGGTAGGCACATACAAGGTTGCAAATGGTTTATATCTTACGACCGAAGTGTCCGATGGCATGGTAACTGGCAGCAACGCGGCGTGAGTGGAGTCTATCTGTCGAAGCAACGGTAGAAAACTGCCAGAGAGAGCGTTGGCGACTTGCTTTTGTGCCTCTGTCCCCAATGCGGCTGGTTTTTGTGCATCTGCAGGAATCCGTGGCCCGGGCGTGGTCACGGCCTTGTTGCGCGCGGATGGTGCAATACTGTCGTCATTGCGCGCGGATGTATAATATTGTCGTCATCTCCAGCATTTTTTGGCTAAGTGAATGCGAGAGGCTTCTCGCTCCGGCGTGGGAATGGCGGCATTTCGCTTTATTTTTCCATAATTTCCATAATTTCTATTTTTCGGAGCGTTCGCTCGTTTGTACCTAACCGCGCCGAACTGACATCCAAGCTGCCGTTCTTCCTCTTGTAACAAAAAACGGGTAATTGTTCTTTCTGTTTTTTTCGTAGAAATTGATATAGATGTCACCTAGATTCTCGCTGACTCGTGACATAGTTCTTCCTGATTTCACTCTCTGTGGCCTTTGACTAAAATAAGCCTATGACGCTATATAGGTGTAAAGTTAACGACTCGTGTCGCTCGCTGCGCTCGGCTCATATTAAATAATTCGCTTCTAAAGTGATATAGTTATTTAATGTAAACTTCACCATTATATACACATACATACAAACAAACAAAGATAGATGGAGACAGACAGACACGCGCGCACGCAAGCACGCACGTACGCACACATACTTGTACGCCCACCAATACGTACGCACTAACTGCCTTATAGCAAGAATGTATCACTGCTGAAAATGCACACAACTTCAAAATAGGAAAATTTGCCTCATTTCCAAATCTCCCATTTACAAAGGCTCACCGCGAAAATCCGCATGCTTTGTGTCCATTTCAACGTCTGACTTTTCTTAATAACATTCACTTATCTTTGTTGCAACATATTGAGTTATTAAATAGACAAGGGAGTGCAGTAAATGGACAGTACCATGTCTACTATAACGCAGCCATATTGGAAGCACATCCGCAAGCACGTCTGAAGTGTTATTGGCAGAAACAATTATACGCTGAGTAATGACTCATATTATAATACATGTTTTCTGCACTCGAGAATGGGGGAAAAAACATTTGTCTAGTATGCTATCAGAAGTTTATTGAAAAAATATAATATGATGCAACTAAGTCACATGTGTTTGTTAAAGAAAGTTTACAGTTGAAATAATACACGGAGAGCGTATTTTGCTGATGGGGTTTGGTGGATATAGAGCCCTTCTTTGCAAACTTTTGACGTTGAAAATGCCGTGTATTCATGTTCGTATTTTGTTTTAGAAATAGTAAAGATACCCGCTGACTCATCGACTAATATCAAAACGCCAGAGAGAAAGATTAATAAACCAGCAACAAAGAAGCCGAAGGAGCAAGGTAAGGGATCAATCGACTGAAGATTCGAATATATTACTTAGTCGTGGCTAGAACTCCCCCTCACTCTCTCTCTCTGCTCTCTCGTCGTCTCTCTCTCTCTCTCTCTCTCGCATGCATCTCCTCTCTCTCATCTCTCTCTCTCTCTCCTCTGCTCTCTCTTCTCTCTCTCTCTGCTCTCTCTCTCTCTAGGCTCTCTCTTCTCTTTCCTCTCTCTTTCTCTCTCTCTCTCTCATGCTCTCTCTCTCTCATCTCTGCTCTCTCTCCTCTTCTTTCTTCTTTGCTCTCTCTCGTCTCTCTCTCTCTTTCTCTGCCTCTCTCTTTCTCTCTCTCTTCTCTCTCTCTCTCCTCTATTTCCTCTTTCTCTCTCCCTCCCTTCTTTCCTCTCTCCGGTCTTTCTCCTCGAGCCTCCTCTTGTCCCCTAATCTTCCTCCTCTTTCCGCGTCGCCGCGTAGCAACTCCTCTCGACCGCGTGCCACCATTTCCTTGTTCCCCCCGTCAAAGATAAAACGCTATTATGTCCACATTGCAAAATGCGTCTATCGTTGTGGAGAGAAGAAAGAGTGGAAAAAAATACGAAGATGAAAGACAAATCGCTTCTCCGTCCCCACTCGTCCGAGATTCAAACGACATCTCGCGACGCGTTCCGCAGGTCTTCTCTTCGCTCTCTCCCTCGTCTGCTGTCTCTCTCTCTCTCTCTCTCCTCTCTTCTATGCAGCGACATTTCAGATTAAAGCCACCGCGTTAATATAGCGCCCGAGGCCCCGGCCGCCCGGGCCCTGCGTTTGATATTAGCTTCGCCTGCGATGCGACCATCTCTGCAATATAACTATTAATAGGCTTCGCGGTAATAATAGCCGATGTGTATGTATGTGTGTGTGTGTGTGTGTGTGTGTGTGTTGGTGTGTGTGTGCGTGCGTTGTGTGCGGTTGCGTGCGTGCGTCGCGTGCGTGCCGTGCGTGCGTGCGTGGCGTGCGTGTGTGTGTGTGTGTGTGTGTGTGTGTGTGTGTGTGTGTGTGTGTGTGTGTGGTGTGTGTGTACACCGTCCTGGTCTTCTTCAGCGTCAGGCAAAGGCGGAGGCGGCGACGACGAACGATGACGATGGCGACATCAGGCTTGAGCGACGATGACGGATGACGACACGGATAGTCATGTCTGCCCCAAGATACGCTCGGCCCGTTTTTCCTGCGGTCACGCTGAATGTCGGCTGAAAGAAGATGTGTGGTAAACGAATGGCAATCGGACGCGAGAGCGAGAGCGACAGTTCGTGCGTCTGGCGTGCGGCGGTGCGAGTCCGGGCGGAAGTGTTGTTTGGAGGACAGGACGGTATTCAGAAAGACTAGGCAGTGGTGCTACTCTCCGTTGCGCCTGGAAACGAACGAGTCTCTTTCCGCCCGCGCGCCTCCCATTTTCTTCTCCTTCGCGCTCATGTTGCTTATACGAAGTGGATTTGAGAATTCTATTATGCCAACCTTGTTCGCGGCGACGAAGGTTTTTATTGTTATTACGGCCGGATGCGATGTGCGCCCCCTGCGAAAGGGAATCGATCGGCGATTGTTCTCTCGTCAGTGTCGCCGGTAGCTGATGGACGTCGTATGCTGTAGGAGAGGAGGAAGAGAGAGGAGGAGGAGGAGGAGGAGAGGGGAGGAGGACCGAGCAGGCAGCAGGAGGAGCGGAGGAAGGAAGGAAGAGGCGATCACCGACACGCCGGCTTCGTCATGCGACGAATGGCTTCCCCGTTCAGTGAGCGCCGCAAGACACGTCGTCGATGATAATGAGATGCTGATGATGGTTGCGGCGCGGTCGAAGTGGCAAAACCGTGCTGCGAGAAAGCAGCTGTGGTGGCGCGGGGTTTTTGCGTTCTGTTCAATACATGGAATGCTGGCATCCCAGCACGCACGCACATACGCGCCCGTGCGTCACAAGGATGACAGAAATCTCACACACACGGAGAATGTCATGAGAGCATGTCACACATCGTTGAGCGCTGACTCGTGCGTGGAGCAACTGATTGCAGCGCGATTGTCTGTGAGCCCTGGCACACACACAGGCGCGCGATGCTGTCGCTGTGCCTCGTCTAGGCCGACTATATAGCGATCGACATCGCGATCGCGTATATCTGGGCACGAATCGAGCCCCCTATATGTATATATAGATACTATAATATATATATAGTATATACGTTATCAGCCTGCGGCGCTCTATTATACACGACTCGGATGCAAGCCGTGAAATCCTGTTTACGTATTCAAATATTTGTGTGTGTGTGTGTGTGTGTGGTGTGTCGTGTGTGTGTGTGTGTGTGTGTGTGTGTGTGTGTGCGCGCGCGTACGTGTATATTTAAGCGGGAATTAGTATTAACCCCTGCGTTACTATCGGGGTTACGACCGTATACAGAAGATGCCAAGCGATGACATGTTTCGTTCGCGGGTTCTTTTCGTTAGCTTGTTGTCCATGTTGCTTGTGCGTGCGTGCGTCCGTGCGGTGCGCGTACTTACACCATAATATATTCCCGTACACACGGCGGTAATTCAATCACGCATCGATCTAGCGTTAGTCTGGCCTATGTTTACTGTTTCTGCGCTCGCGACCATCTTTTCTGCACACGCGATCGCCCTTCATGCATGGAAAAAATGGCCGTCATAACACGTTAGGGTTCGTAGTGTCTATAGCGCTTGCATTGACGCGCTAACGAAGAATAAAACAAGGTCGATGTCACGTGCGTGCGCACGCACGCAAGTATCGCATACGTCATATGCGTGGGTCGGTGCAGTAGGTCAGTACTATTGCGGGCGAGTGGAGAGACTCTGATTTCTTTGTTGACGGCCTGTTTGCGCTGTTTGCAGCTTTGCGTTCAATCAACGCTTCGATAGCGCCGCTATTCAAATGACGGCGTCTGTAAGACCGGGTTGTGCTAATCCCGACTTCGTATCGTAATCAACAAAAAAGGGATCAAACCGATTGCTAGGCAATACTGTGAAACGCGTGAACTCGGTTACTGTGGCTGTTGCTGCTGGTGGTGGTGGTGCTGCTGCTGGTGCTGCCGTTGCCGTTGCCGTTGCTGTTGCTGTTGCTGTTGCTGCTGCTCCTACGCCTATGCATATTAGCTATTTGAAATCTACAATAGCCCAGATAGGTCATTTGAATTCAGAATGCGACAATTGAAAATCGAGTTTAGAATTTATAATTTTAAATTACGAATTTCCAATCTCGGCTATCGAATTTCATATTTCGATTTCCACATTGCGGGTTTCAAATTTCGAATGTTCCAATCGCGGACTCTCGTAAAAATGCATCGCATGTAATTTAGCTAGCGAGGGTCAGTGCGCATGCGCGTACGTCACCGTGTATAGCAGGTATGTGCGGACATTAGCAGAGCAGAGCTTGGTCGAATTTCCCTTGGCGAACCGCGGTTTGGCGCGTATTTTCGTGTCCGGTTAACGAGACGATGGGCATTGCATACGAATCGCCCTAACTCTCTTTAACCGCTCGCATCAATTGTCCGAAATTGTCATCCGCAAAACGTGCGGGGTGGTGGGAAAAGGCAAGGAAAAATAAGGGAAAACGCGCGCATGCGCACGATGTGCCCATCAGCGATATTTTACGATCATCGGCAGCAGTCGGAATCGAAATAATCTGCATTTCATATTCATTATTATAATTAAGTGTACATAATCATAATTAAGTTGTACCAGTTGAGTCGGCACGGCGCGGCGACCGTTAATTCGAGTGAACGTTCTACGATGATCGGTCATATTACGCTACCAATCGTGGACCCGATGTTCTAGAAAAATATAGAAAACA